TAGTAACATCAGAGTGTTTCTATTTGCCACTTCCAAGGAATTATTCTGAATGTTCAGGTAAGTATGACAAATTTATGAGATAGAGTATCTTTGGAAATCTGTGGTATGCCCTTCTGTGCTCATAGTGAATTTCCCCTTGGTTTGCTGGTGACCAAACCATCACCACTACCAAATTCCTTGAAATGTGTCCTCTAGATAGATTTGAGCAAGCATTCTTTTATCTCCTCTCTTAAATTTGGGAACATTCATTTTGGAAATTACTTTTTCCCTTGAATTGGATGCCCTTCATTAATCAGTTGACACATTTTCCTTCATTCAAAGGGATGAGCAAGGAGGGCAGGGAAGTGACACTCACTGTTTCTCTTGTGTACCAGTAATGGCCCTGAACCCTTTCAAGGCAGTCTTCTCAAATCCTTTCACTACTTCACAGTTTCTGGGACCAATAACCCTGGATTTCCTTGCTTTTATTCCTATTGTTTTCAGAAATACTTTGGTTTTTGGCCCTGCTTGTGGCCTGTGGGATCTTAGTTTCCTGACCACAATTGTACCTGAACTTCTTGAAATGGAAGCACAGAGTCTTAACCATTGGTCTGCCAGGGAAATCCCCTTTGAAGACTCATGAACTTTGTATTTGTTGAATTTTATGTGAGAGTTTAAATAAGCTTATATTTCTTCTCAATTCTTGAAGTTTTTAAGGCTTTCAGACTTCCATATATAATTACAAACTATGTTATGTTCCTTAGAATTCTTAAAAGTAACAGAATCCCAGTTTAAACTAACTTAGGGGAAAAAGGGAAAATTCATTAGCTTACAAAACTGAAAAATCCAAGAATGTTCTGGTTTCATGCTCAGCCCAAGGATGACAGGTTTCCATCTCCATGATGCTGATTCAATGGCTTTCAACAGCCCCAACTCACATTTTATCAGTTTAACAATCCCTGTAGAAAGAGAGAAAGCTTTTCCTCCTCACTCTGGCCAAACTCCTGGAAAGTACTCCAACTGGCTCTGCTTAAGTCACAGTTGGAACCAATCACCATGACCAGTGAGTGTTTCACTGAGCATTCTACAAGGTACATAATACAGAACCCAAAGAACCTTTGCCCTCCATGCCCCTGGGCTCTGCCAAAGTCAGCATGGTCTGTGAGTCTCCAGAGAGAGGTGGAGATGCTCTGGGTGGAGCTAGGATACTATCCAGAGATCTGTCCTGTGTGATAACATAGTTTCAAGATGGAGAAAGCCATCCTATGCCCTATCGTTTCATTTCAAAGCTAAATGCACTCAACTGCTGAATGAACCTTTTAAAATTGAAGTATAAAAAAATAAAAATAAAAAATAAAATTGAAGTATAGTTGATGTCAAACACTGTATTAGTTTCAGATGTACAATAGGGTTGATTCAACATTTTTATAGATTATACTCCATTTTAAGTTATTGTAAGATATTGGTTATATCCCTATGCTGTACATTTCATCATTGTATCTTGTAGATTTTATACCTACAGAATATACCAAAAGAATGTGTAACTTTCCCCTCTGTCTGCAGTAGTTTGTACCTCTTATCGCCTTCCCCTCTCTTGCCCCTCCCAGTTGGTAACCACTAATTTGTTCTCTGTATAAGTCTGTTTCTGTTTTACAATATTTATTCATTTTATTTTTTTAGATTCCTCATACTAGTGAAAGCATCTGTGAATGTCTGAGACTTAGTCTCATCCCCCAGTGTGGTGACATTAAGAGTTGCCAGTAGGTTTCCTCTTTAGACAGCAACACGACCTCAAGTTTGAGGCCATCACAGAGCTGACAGGCTGGGAAAACCTTGGCTTGTGCTCATTTCTAGCTCCTCTCATCATCTGGGGCTCTGACACTTCCTCACCCATAGCATCCTTTCTAGTGGTGTCTCCAGGGAGGCAGCTCCATCTCCCTGATATCAGGAAACCTTTCTGGAGCAGAGCCAAGCTGAACCTGCCCTCCTGGCACTGAATTCTGTTTCTTTTCTATCAGCTGAAACAAAATTGTCAAAGATTGTTGAATTCAAGTTCAACAGTATGGAACCAAAAAGGTTTTGTAGTTTGGCTTTTCTGTACAATACTTCCCTCAACTTCCCCCATGTTGAAATAATTTTTTAAGTGGAGTATTTTACTAAAGGGGATGGAATGAAAAAATAAAATCTACTTTGGCTTTTTATAAATGTAACACTAATTCCCAGTTGGATTCCAGATAGTATTTTACTATATAATAAGAAAAATATATTTTCTTTTCAGCAATACTTAAAAAAATCAGAGGAAGAGGAGAAAACAGTTTGGAGATGTGGATCCATTAAAAGCTTAAGTATGTGACTTTGGGGACTGATTTTACTTTTTTTTAAAATATTCTGGGGAAAGAAGTACACCGTCTAATTTAATTTCTTTCTACTTGCAGCCTTTAGGTTTATTTTCAGTATTTACTGAATATAAAACTAAAGGAAAAATATCAGCCCCAAATAATTTAAAGTTAGATTAACATTTCAATAGGATTTGATAGATTTTTCCTATAGATAATATATTTAATCCAGAAGTCAAGTGCATGAAAATGATTTTGATTCAAAAAGTAAAAAGAATTATCATGTCTCTCTATATTACAATATCAGTAGAATATCAAGGTTAGGTAAATTAAATAAAACTATTCATTTGGGAATGGGGGCAGTGCTTTCTATGTGAGAAGTGAGAGAGGAGTGCCTATGCACTGATTAGAAAGTTTGAAACCTCCAATTACTGTTTCCTTGGGTTCTTCCTTTTATTATTCATCTCTTGGCGAATGACCCCAGCTTGCTTAGAGATCTCATCCTGAAGCAACATATAGGCAGTCCATTTCTTTCTTGCCCTTTAAACTGTAAGTATGAATGGGATGAGAGACTGGTTCATTCAGCTCAGAGCCGGGCACCCATGTGTATACACCTGTAGCTTGACCTTGACACAAGATCCCTGTTAGTCACAGTCCTCTCTGACTACAAGAAGAAATCCAAATCCAAAATAACTACTTTGATAAAAAGCAAGCAAGCTTTGGCCAGGCTGACATTGACATTGGAGAAAGCCAAATTTTGACTCTTTTATGGCCCAAATCCTTGTTGATAGCTGTGATGTTTCTCCATGATTTGGGTATATATAATTTGGGTAGCTGATAAAACTGTCTTTTAAGGCAAGTAATTGGCACGTGACATTTTATTACCAAGTCCTTTAAGAGTGGAGCATGTTTTATAGAATGGCAAACATTAGAGAGTCCAAAAGAGTAGAAATAAGACATACCTGAAATTTTAGCCTAAAACCTCAAATTGGCACAAAATAGGAAAAGGAAGGAGGTGACTGGTGCTATTACTAATGTGCATCAGTAGTTTTTATATGTCCTTTCTCTCAGTGCTAAAGTGTTATTTCTGCCAGTATTATATATGTGTGGTTCACCCATCCTTTCAAATATAATATTTGGGAAAGTATTCATGTAAATCTTCTGTGCCAATGGAAAAGTTCCTTCTTGTTTAGTACCTGTTTACATCAGTCTATGTTATGCTCTCCTTTAGAAGATTATAGCTTATTTTGAAAACCAAATGTGGAGTCAAGTCAGATGGACCTAGATGGGGCAGCTTTTTGAGCTTCTTTCCTGAACCAGGAAGTTTGCTTGAAAGGCCTTTGATAGTTTCAGATATGGACACATGACCTTCAGATGACTTATTCCCAGTACACCTTCATGTGAACTGTGACACTGTATGTATGTGACTCATACAACTTTAACATGTTTCTGATGTATTTCAATCATATTTGTTACTAAACAATGCAAATGCAGCTTTTATACTAAAAATACTGCTTATTTGTATTGCAATACATTATAAATTTGTTATTTATATTCTTATAATGGTCTTTTTTAGCCTAGTGATAGTTATTTTTCTCTTCATCTGTATATTTCCTGCTTCCTTAAATAGCATCACCAGCAACTGGAGTGGGAAATCAAGATGTGAGCCTCAAGCAGTACTTTGCCTGAATTACAAATCACCTTATCATAGAATTGTATGGGATCCTTGATGCTATTTGTTTTCATTTTATTGTAAATTTCCTCTTGCATCAAAACCTAATGATGGCGATAACTAAGTAAAAACAAAACAGTGTACTGTTTTTCATAGAAGAATTTCACAGAATTCATTTGCCTAGGCAGTGAAAGGAATTACTTCGTTAAAAAATAATTTTCGTGTGTCCATCCTCCATCCTGTCTGTTTATTGTCCCTCCTTCTTCCTCTTCTTCCTCCTTCTCCTTGACTTGATGAATCCCAAACCCTTGCTTTAGCTGCTCTGGGAAGTTCACAAAAACTCAAGAATGAGTGCAAAGATCCCAGGCTTTCTCCTCGTCACAGTTGCTGTGTTGCCTATGGAAACTCGCTGCCCTCAGGTCCCCTCTGTCCTGAGCTCTGGAGGTGACCAGGGCTGGAGAAGATGGCAAGGGTGGCTTCTATCCTTCCAAGACACTGTGAGTTGACCTGGTCTCCTAGGGCACACAGAAGACTCTGCCTGCACCTGACCCTTCCTGTCAGCATAGCAGTAGAAAAGCACAAAGGACAAAGTCCCTCAGAGACTGAAATAATGGATATTATATTTTCCACTTTTGAAAGATATTAGGGACATGTGTAGTAAGAACAAAATGATTAAACTTCCATACCACCAAGTCCTTAGAGAAACTGGTTCAGCATGCTAATGGAAGAACATCCATTATGTGGTATCTAGACCAACTTGAACTTGGTCATGCATCTTTGGTGGGACCAAATTTGTAGTTTTTGAAGCCAATAACACTGTGGTGCAAAGAGTAATCCTTTGCTTTGCTTCAATCTGGGAGGTTCTTTGGAACCTATTCCACAATAATAGGACATGTCTTCTTAGGACATGTGACCTTCTTGAGACTTAGAACAGGATTAGGCTAGTCTAGGCTGTTAACAGACTCCTGAATCTCAGGGGCTTTCAGAACAAGAATTTTATTGTTTCACTGAGGTCAGGTGTCCCAGACAGCAGGGAGCCTGGAGCACAACTGTTTGGCTCCCTCCCCAACAGCATTTCTCTGGACCGAGGACTTAAGAGTCCCAGAAATCCCTGGTGAGAGACAGGGCTTGTTTGGGGAGGGCTCAGCAAGAGACCCAAGGTCAGTCAGTCTTTCACCCAATGAGAACAGCAACAGGGGAATCCATGTGGGGAAGGGAGGAGCCAAGGGCAGGGCCATGCTCAGCCACTGGCTTCCTCCGGGGCAGCTGCCCAGTCTCACTGGTTCTTGAGCCAATATCCCCAGAGAAGGAATACAACGACCACCCATGGGGTATCTTCCTGCCTTCGGATTCCAGAGCTGGCCTGCTCCATCCATCCATGAGCCATCCGTCCATGAGCTGGCCCTGCTCTTGCCCTCTGCTTCTCACCACCCCTCCTGTGCTCTGAGGCAGTGGGCAGTGAAGAGCCATGACTTGGGGAAAGGGGAGAGGGATGTGTCCTGAAAGACCTCACAAGAGGATTCAACATGAAATGTTCTATGCTGTTTTTCGAGTGGAAGAAGAGAAAAATCAGTCTCTGAGGACTCCTTGATCAGTCCCTACGGAATGCTCCCCACAACAGACAGAGCACAGGATGAGGGTGCTGAGGTGTCAGCCACAGGACAGCCCTCCCGGCCAGATCGACTGCAGCCTGCTCTCCAGGGAATCTTGTGATGAGGGTGGGGAGTGTGCCTCCTGCCTCCCAGCATGACTTTCGGGCTCTGTAGCAGAATCTGCCTGCTATGGGCTCCGAACCGTGCCAGTATCTAACCTACTGGGCGAGGGGCTGCCTGCCTGGGCCTGCGACAGCCCTAGCACTCAGAGGAGTCCTGGCAGTGCCAGAACTGGGGCCCCATGGAGCCTGCTAGGCCCTCCTGTTGGGGTCAGCAGCTGACAGCAGGCCCCAGAAAGGATGGACGATGCTCATGCCCCCCACCCCCTCGCTGCAGTCTGGTTCCTGTACTCACCAGCATGCCTTTGGCACCTTTTTCTACCATGGTGGTGGTGGGTTAGGGGCTCTGGAGTCCCGGATCACACTCACAGCCCTTGGCAGAAGCAAGCTGGGGGCCAAGTGGGGGAGCGGGCAAAGGGCTTTTATGTGTGCACGTGGTAGGAGGAGAGGGTAGAGGCCAAGTAAACAATGGATTCCAGCATGTGTCCCTGGCCTTGGCCATTGATGTGGACCTGGGGTCAACACCCCGGTTCCATAGGCGTTGGCAGTCTTTATACAGATGGGGGGAGTCAGCACGGCCACCAGAGGCCCGTGTGTGTGTGTACCCCATCCGGGCCTCACCTTTGAACATGGGGCTGATCCTCCAGACCCCCAGGCAGCCCTGACTTGCAAACTGGCCTAAGGAGAGTTCCATGAAGAAGAGGGGCATCCCGCAGAAGATGAGAATGATGAGGTAGGGGGTCAGGAAGGCTCCTGGTGGGCAGGGAGAGGGCTGGCTCAGGGCCGGCTTTGGGGGAGCACACCCTTTTCCTGCTCAGAACCCGACAGCAGAACCTGTGCAATTGGCTGGGCTTTCCAGGAGGGTGTGCCATGCCCTGGACTAGAGCCTCAGTCTGAGGCACACTGCCTACGGCCTGCTTTGAACTTGACAGGGTTCCCAGGAAATCTGCTCTGAGCTGAACCCAGGTCCTAGAGCTGCCATGTTCGGGTGAGAATTGATGATTTAACCAAGCAATTTCACATACATTAGCTGATGGGGTCCTCAAATATCCCCCGACTCATTTTGCGGGAAGCTGTTGAAATGCAGGGCGTATAAAACTGAGACTTGGGAGGTTGGGTTGCTTTCCTCTCTAACTTTTCTCCCCTTGAGGGATCAGGCTGCCAAGGTCAGGGGGTAAAGGGTACCTAAGCCAGGGGTGGGTGCAAAGGAGATTAGGGCCAGAGGCCAGCCTGTCTTGAGTGGGGTCTGTGCCGGAAGCGGGTGGCTGGGCCCTGGTGGCTGGGCTCTATCCACGTGGGTGGTCCCTGCCCTGGGCCCACTGGGTACCTCCCTCGTTGCGATAGCAGATGTATGGGAAGTCCCAGACATTGCCCAGGCCCACGGCATAGCCCACACTCGTCAGTATAAACTCGATCTGGTTGCGCCATTTGCCCTGTTGGCAGCTATGGTCCTTCTGGTGGCCTCGCTGGGCAGGGCACCGTTCTGTGCAGACAGGAGAAAAGCCACCATCAGCAAGGCATTGGCATGAGGGGCCTGACCCTTCAGGCCTCCCCCAGTGAGGACACCATGGACCCTCCAGGAGCCCACCCCCACCCTGGGCTTCCCTCTGCAGCCAGGAGCCACAGGCAGGCCTGGCGGAGGAGCACAGAGGGAAGAGTGGCTGCCAGAGGGTGCCAAGTGGGGCCTCCCTCACCAGCCCCCCAGCACCCTGTGCTGGGGGCACCAGCCCACCTGAGGAGCTGCTGCCAGCATCTCAGAGGTGGGACACTGAGACGGAGCTCGAGTTGAGAGCCCCCCAGCCCCAGTCCCTCCAAAGCCTCCCCTCTCCCCTCTGAGTGAGGATCTGGGAGCAGCTGTGCCTCATACCACACAGCCAAGCTGGCTTGGGCACAAAGGGGCCTATGTCCAGACAGCCCCCCAACCCGCCGCCACCATATCGCCAGGCTGAGCATGCTGCCCATGGCAGCTGGCTGGGGGGGAGGGGACACTGGACCCCTCCCCCAGCTAAAGGCTTTTTCTAGGAGGCACCTGGTGGTCAGGGCTGTAGGGTACAAGAAGGGGAAAGCAACTGAGCTAGGCCTGACCTGAGGAAGGCATTCTGGGACTCAGGATGGGAGGGCCAGGAGAGCCGCCTCTGATTGCCCATGACAGGGGAGGGGAGACCTGGGGAAGCTGACCTGGGCTGGGCAGGGGGAGATGCTGCCCATGAGTTGGGGAAGGAGACCAGAGTTGTAGGCACCATGTCAGACTTGGAAGACAGACTCTGGGGAGTTCTAGTTCCAATTCCCTCAGGGGAACTAGAGGGACTGACTCCGGAAAAGGGTCTCTGAGCTGAGAGAGCATGGGCTGCAGAAGAGGGGGATGGTCTGGAAGGGCTAATGAGGGGGTTCGCCCCAAAGGAAGGATGCAGGTTTGCCTGGGGAGCTGTGGAGCTGGAATGGGTGGCCCGAAGCCCCACTGAGGACCCCAACCCCACAGCTGGGACTAACCCACTGAGGCCCTTTATAAGTGTGAGCACACCTATCCCCCATGCCACGTCCCTTCCACCCCTCCCACTGAGTCAGCCACCCTGAGCCAGAGCCTGAGGGGTCAGAGGAGTCTCAGAGGCAAGGGAGGACCCCGAGAGTCACCAACAGAGAAGCCCAGAGAGTCCCTGAGTGGCAGAGACAGTCTCCCAGAGGGGGCCTGTTCTCCTGAGAGAAATGGCCAGGTGTCCCTGCGGACACCCAGGATCAGTGACATAGCCACACGACCTACCTGAGGGACAGCGCAGTAGTGACACTGACCCTCAGTTTGAAAGAGACAGATTCAAGGCACGAAGGCAAACAAACAAATGGGCCAGGGGCTTGGACATGCTGCTGGACTCACACTGACCCACAGGCGCAGAGTCGGGGATGGTCTCACCGAGCCTGCGCCTTCCAGGAAGGCAGGCCCAGAGGCCCCAGCACCTGATGGTGGCCCTCCTAGCCATGCACCCTTTGCTCTCAGCAGGTACATCTGGGGGGCCACTTCGGGCTTGCACAGCATGTGGGCACTACTGCCCAGGCACCCTTGTCCTGCCCAAAGGTGTCACCTCCCACCCAGCACTGCCCAGAGGAGACCCTGAGCCTCACATGGTCCTGGGAGTTTTGGGGCCCAGTACCAGGAACCCTTCACAGGGCACCCGGGGCCGACCAGTAGAGCCTGTGTGCATGCATTCACGGAGGTTTACAAGCACCTACTATGGTGCAGCACCAGCGGCTGCTCCCTGGCCCTGTACCCCAGCCCTGCAGAGCCCCATTCAGGAGCTGTGGAGGGAATGCTGCTGAGGGGGCCTGCGCCACAGCCAGGCCTCTGACTTTTCATTCCAGTGCAAGCTATGGGCAGCCAGTCTGACTGGTGAGGGCGTGGCGCTCAGCAAAGGACAGAGGAAGCCCACCTTCCTCCAAGGACACTGGAGGGCAGGGTCCCTCTCAGGGGGTTCCTGGGGGCTCTAGTTCCCTTCCAGTCCTCCCCTGGAGACTCCCCTCCACTTCCTTCCTGGACAGCAATGCCCAAGGCTGGCGAGACTTTTCCAATGCCGCACAAGTTTTTTTTTCCTTGCATAATTTTCCTCATTCTAAGCCCTCCATTCTTTTTGACCTGCTGGGTGGAAGGCTTGTCACTGATAGTAACAGTCCCTGCAGAGGTTGTTGGCCCTGAGGTGCCCACAAAAGAATCTCTTGGTGCTCATGGGTTTGACCCAGACTGGTGGCCCATCTGCCTAACCCACCTCGGCCCCGCCGACTGGCCAGGCTCCAGGCTCCTGCTGCCCATCACCCATCTCCCACTGTCTGCTGCCCCTCAATGCCCTCCCAACCTCCCTCCCTCGCTCACACCTGGCTGCTGAATTAAACCAGAGGGGCCTGGTGGCCTTCGGGGTTGGTCCCTCCTCCTCGGGCTCCCTGGATAGCCCCTACCCTCACCTCTGACTGGTCGTCATGGGCCTCATGCGTGACCTCCAGGGTGGAGATTGCCTCGCCCTGTGCCCACACTTCCCCAGGCCCAGCAGGATGCAGGCTACGGGACGTGCCTTCCACAGCTGTGTGGGTGGGCTGGCTGATCATCCTCCACGACATCTGCCATGCAAAGACATACACACGTAAGACCCTCAGCGCCCCTGTCCTTAGAAGCAGTCATTGAGGCAGCAGTGTCCATGCCTGCACAAGGATCTGTGACCTGTCTTGGGTTCACAACCTCCCACCCCATCCCTGCCCAGGAGGGTGAGCCACTCTGAGCAGTTGCTTATGTAAGTCCTTTCCCTAGCCCTCTGCCCTCTCTTTATTATCTGCTCTGGGTGAGCTCCTGGAATTCAGGCAGTTCACCTCCAAGGGCAGAAACCAGAGCTCCCCCCACACCTTGGACTTGGCAGGGCGGGGATCTCACACTGGGGTTTAGCATCCTAGCATTCTAGAACCTGCACCTCCAGGAGTCCGAACCTCTTCCACTCTCAGCATTGAGAGACCTTAGCTATAAAATCAGGGGATAGAGAGACAACCTCAATAGATCTCCTTAGATTCTCTAGCTCTGCCTTGCCTCGAATTTGCTATTTCTGACTCTCTCCTGTATTTTCCATTAGCTCCCACTGGCTTTCTAAACAACTTAAAAAAAATTGGTATTGCTTTCTTTCCAATTATGAGCTTATCATTAAAAAAAAAAAAAAAACTGGAAACTACAGCAAAGTGTAAAGAGGACACGATGCTGCAGAGCCCACTCCCAGAGGCCGCCCTCCCACCCCGCACCGCAGGGTCGCCCCTCCCTTCTTCGTGTCCAGACTCAGAGGCAGCCCAGCTTTCTACTCTGGGAGATGGCTGTGCTCAGGCTACCAACTCCCGCCCTCCGAGAGCAGTGTCCACTGGATATTTCTGTGAATCGAGCGCTCTCTCTTCTGCTCTCGGTGGACACCGAGGACTCCTGGAGCAGGCCAGGACGGGCAGGCCCTGCTGGGAGCCGGCAGGCTTCTTGTCCAGGACTCTGCAGCCCCAGGGTTTGCTCAAGGGATGAAGTCCTATCTAAGAAACTTTGCAGAGGCGAACGGGCAAGACCCTACATCCCAGACTGACCTTGAGCCAAATCCAGATCCCTGGCAACCTTCTCTGAGCTCCAGTGGGGGAATTCAGGCAGAACAGCCATGACAGTAAACCGTAAAGCGTGGCTGCCCCGGGAGACCCCATGACCTCACACCCCCTGGTTCTTGGTTCCCCAACTGGTCTTTCTGAGGTAGCACCTGCTTGCAATACAGAGCCTTCCATCCTTCAACTGGCTCCCTGATCCAGACACGTGAAAGAGTCAAGGGCCGGGCTGGAGGAGCGGGACCATGGGAAAATCTTCCCCAGACTCGAGCAGTATGCAGGGGCTATGAGTGTCTCCTGCCTCAAGGAAAACCTCACAGCACCTCTCAGGAGATCAGACCCTCACATGGGAGGTGAGAGAAGCAAGGACGTGCCCGGTGCTGTTTCATCCCAGAGCCCGGACTGGCAGAGGGCTCTGCCAGTACTGACCCGCCAATATTGTGGATGCCGGACAGGAGATGTGGCCCAGGCACGCCAGGCTCCACTCCAGACCCTGGGAGTAGTGACGGGACCATTGGGTGGGCACTGTCTCTGCCCTGGAGCCCAGCAGTCCTGCCTCACACTGTGGCAGCCATGAGCAGCCTCTGCCCCAGTCAGCTGACAGCAGGCTGGCATTTTGGAAGTGGCTTTGGTTGCTGACCCTGGCAGTCCTGAGGGTGGAGGGCAGCCCTGCATAATGCTACTCCCAAACCCAACCCAGGTCGCCCCAGAAGACATGCCTTCTCTTGCCTTCTGGAAGTCAAGTCAGGATGCACTGCAGAGAAAGAAAGAAGGTCCCAGTCCCCTCTCCCTCACTGCCATAAGCCACATTGTGCCTGCCATCCCGCCCATACCCGGCTTCCAGGGACGAGGGCACACTGGTGGTGCCCACCCCACCCAGGCCCTCATCCTGGACACTGGCGACCATTCTGCAGGGTCTGTCACCTCCCAGCTGAGACGCTCATCCGCCCCCTCCCCCATTCTCCCCACGCAGCCCCTGTACCAAGTCCCCCTGCCCCCTCACCCACTCTCCCCATGGGAGTAACTGCCATGGCGCAGACAATGAGGCTGAATTGATTAGTGCAAGTCCTGGGCACCTCCGGCCCGTCTCCCCGGGAGCTAAGACAATGCAGCTTGGATGCACAGAACAGATTCTCTGCAGGTCCTTGGGCGGGGGGGCCCACACCCCCATTCTCCTCCCCCGCGCCCCCGCCACACAGCCAATTCTTCCTGCTCCTCTGCACACTTGCAACTCTCTGCGTCACTTCTGCTGCTGTCTGGCTGTGCCTGCCCCTCCCTGGCACACACCACTCAGCCCCTCTCCCCAGCCCCAGTCCTGCCTCCCAGTCTGCCTGGCACCAGAGAGGGGGCGTGGCCTCCTGGAAAATGACTGACCTGTTCTGGCGAAGAGGGGTCCGCAGGTCCCTGAGCCGCCGCCATCCTGGGGTGAACACTTGGAGTGGAGTGTGTGCATCTCCACTCATTGACACTTCCGCCAGCTCCAGGCGACACTGATGCATCCCCTGCCTCTTCCACTGCCTGCTGGGCAGCATCTGTTACTATACCTCATCTCCTCCCAAAGCTCTGCCTCTGCCTCCCCAGCCCTCCCGCTCCGGCTGTCCCCATGTCCCCCAGCGCGGGTGCTCCACAGTTGGAGTGAGGCGGGGGGCTTGTTGTGTTTCTCCCTCATTCCCAGCAAGTGATGGGAACAAACGACACATACACACACTCACAACCACAGGTGAGGCAGAGCAGGCCCAGGACAGACAGAGGGCAGCTCCTTCCCATTCTAGAGTGGGGGCTGGGCCCAGATGCTTCTGAGCAGACAGGCCTGGCACCGGGTGGGCCCCTGGTCACGAGGCTGGGTACCACTGGGCCCCAGAGAGGGTGAAGGGGCAGGGAGAAGGGGATGGAGCCACAGGGCACTCCCAGAGCATTCAGACTCTGCAGAGTGCTGAGGGCTGAGGGTGATGGGCCCTGAGCAATCCCCCCGGACTTGGGGATCTCCAGCCAGCCAAGATGGTAGATGTGTCCTCACAGAAGAATGGGACTGACTGTGCAAAAGAGTGATGGCCTGGTGAACTGCACTCTCACCTGTCTGAAGAAAGACAGCATTAGCTGAGAGGGCAGCTGCAGAACACAGACCCCTGAGGATAAGCACTGCGTCAGCTGAACCTGAGGCGGTCCCTCTGAGAGACAGTGCTGAGTGATCTGCGTAGACTGTCACTCTGACCCTCAATGCCTCTTCTCTGAGGCCACACTCACTGGCCAGTCTCCAGTGGGTGCTGAGACACCACAAACCAGTGACCAGGAAGGCGGGTACGAGTGTCCTGGTGTTGGGAAGACTCAGCTTCCAGTTTTGGGAAACTGATGGGTGGGCAAAGGGTCTGGTACTACGTAGGATCTTAGTAACCTAAGATCAAGCATGAATTCTGATGCTCCCCTGTGAGTTTGGTAAGTGTGCTGACCCCAATGGGAACATGGCAGGATGATACTAACTTTTGTGTTATTACTGTTTTAAAAATATTTATTGGGCTGCGTTGGATCTAAGTTGCAGCGCACGGGCTCTTTAGTTGTGATGCAACAGCTTAGCTGCTCTGTGGCATATGGGGCCTCAGTTCTCTGACCAGCGGCAACGAGCCTGTGTCCCCTGCACTGGGGGCGGACTCCTAGCCCCTGGACGACTAGGGGAGTCCCCACATCATTATGTTTAAAGGGAAAGTCTTTAGTCAGACAGAGCTGGGTTCCAGCCCAACTCTGGTGAATCTCCCTCCTTAGGCAAGTTACTTTACTTGTCTGATCTCAGTTTCTGTATCTCTAAAATGGGGATCATATCTACCCATCTTTGAAGCTAGTAAGCATTATAAATAATAGTAATAGATCATATATATGTAGTGCTTACTGTGAGCCAGATGCTGTCCTAAACACTTCATATTGATATATATTAACTCATTTAATCCTCCCAACAGCCCCTTGATGTGGATATGCTACTATGCCCATTTTGGGAGAGAAGATGGGAAGTGATCTTGGCTCAAGCAAGTCTCCCAAGAGAATGGCCTCAGACCCTAGCAACTGAGCTGCTTCCAGGCCAGCCTCATGAGGCCGGGTCCCCAGACACGCTCTGCTGACTTTCGCCAACTTCCTGCGAGGCCAGACTGAGGGCCTAGCTCCTGGCTGGGCCGCTGGCTCCAGGAAGGCCCAGTCACCCATGATGCCCAAATGCTCACTTCCACCCAGAGTAGGCTCTGGGCTTTGGCTGCCCTGGCCTGGGCCAGGTGCCCAGAACAGGCAGCCCTGGCTGGACAGCTTTCTCTGGCTCTGGCCATGGGGACAGCAGGCGGCAGCAGCCCTGCTGGGTCCTGGCCATAATGAGGCCTCATTAGTGGTATCCAGCTGCTCTAGTCCCACTCAGGGAGGCCGGCTCCCCCAAGCCCATCTCTGACTTTTCTGAAGAAGAGGAGGCATTCCTCCAGAGGGCCAAGGAGTCGAGGGGCTTTGTTTGCGACCTGTGACTCCGAGGGAAGGTCCTGCTGAGGCAGGACTGCAACGTGCTGGGGTGGTGGGGCTGCCGGGAAGCTGTGTGAAGGGAGGGGAGGCCACAGAGCTGAGTCAGTGGGCTCCAGGGAGGCCAGGATGCGGAGGGAGGCCAAGTGGAATGGAGGGTAGGTCCTAGGTCCAGAGAGGAAGCCTGAGGAGGTTGGGCCTTTTCCTCTGGATCTAGATACTGTCCATTTCATTGGGGAGGCTGTAGTTGTGAATCTAGGATCATCCAGTCATCATGCAGGCAGGCTGGCCTGGCTAGGACGGCAGCTCCTCTGTGTTAGTCCTTGTCATCTAAGGAGTGTGCCCACTGTGTGTTGGTGCCTAAGACAGGAGAAGACCTACTGTGTGTCAAACAACACTAGGAAGGCACCCAGTGTTTTCCAAGTCCAGTGCTGGGAGAGACCCACTATGTGCCAGCCCCATGCCAGGGAACCCTGGTGGTTTGCTGGGTCCTGCACGAGATGAATGCCCCATGTATGCCAAATTCTGGGCCAGGTGAGGACCCAGGATATGGTCAGCCCTGAGCAGGGTGAGCACGCACTGTGCGCCTGGCACTGTGCTAGGCGAGTGCCCAGTGTGTGCCGTGTCATACTGGGTGAGAACTTGTCACGTGCCAGGACTCATGCTAGGAGAATGCCTGGTAAGTGACAAGCCTTCTACCAAGGGAGGGTCCGGTGCATGCCAAACCCTGTGCTTGCTGAGCTCCCAGGATGTGTCAAGCCCACACTGGTTGAGCACTTGCCACATGCCAGGACCCGGGCTGGGTGAGCATCCACTGTGCGCCAGGCTCTGTGATGGCTGCTGCAGACAAGAAGCATCTAAACACCTTAGTCAAATAGCAGAACAGGTCAGGGTGGGACAGCCCCAGGCAGCCTCTGGTGCTTTCAAAGCCTTCTAGGACGACTTCGATGCTCCAGCATCTGGAGCCCTACCCTGGGTGACTCTGCTCTTATTCATCATGAGGCTTCCCAGTAGCACAGGCACCCAATGCAGCAGAGAGGAGGGGAGAGACCAGTAAGACTCACCAAGGCCTCTCTGCCCAAGATGCTGTACGCGTGGGGAGCAGGCACAGGGGAGGGGACTGAGTTGGACTTAGTGTGAGACTGTGGGATTAAAGCTGACCCAGTGGGGCTCTTGGAGAAGGAAATGGCAACTCACTCCACTATTCCTACCTAGAGAATCCCGTGGTCAGAGGAGCCTGGTGGCCTGCTGTCCATGGGGTCTCACAGAATCGGACACGACCGAAGCGACTTAGAAGCAGCAGTGGGGCTCTCCTGTCCTTGGCTCCTCTCTACCAGCTCCCTGTCCTCTGAGCCCCCGTCAACCCGGCCCTACATGTGTATAAATAGAGGCACTAGGTCTCCATGAAAGGAACCACCCCCACCCCACCCCTGGTGTCGCCAAGCATCCCAGCTGCTCCCAGGCTTGGAAACACCCTGGCCAGCTGGGTTCCTGCATGGCCCTGTCCTAGCAGCTGCTGAGGCATGAGGGAGGCAGTTGAGCTGACCTGGCAGAGACATTCTGGGCTGGGACTGGCGGGAAGGAACACGTGTGGCAGGCATGTGGGCCAGGGCACGTGCTGGGAAGTGGCTTGCCCTCCACGAGGAACCTGCCGCATGGAGAGCCCAGCAGAGGCTCCAAGGATGACACATGGTAAGCACCGAGGAGACCCAGGGGGCCCATGTCATCACACCCAAGCCTGAGGCAAAGGGGGATGGAAGTGAGGACCTCGTGGCCAGGGCCAGCTGCCTACTCCCGCATCCCAGGACACAGATGGCAACAGAAGTCACAGACCTGGGAGGGCCCAAGTGCCCCTGGTTTATACACATGGCCCTCAGCTCCCTCCGCTCTGCCCCACCTTGGCCTCTAGAGAAGGAGCATCCTTCATGATCTGACCTTAGCAGACCCCGGGCAACTAATGAAGTCCAAGTACAGCTGCCCAGGTTAGCTAAGAGGGATGGCACTCCTCAGAGACAAGCACTACATGGAGGCAGCACTGGCTCCAAATGAGTGCTGAGAATAGTGTAGCCCAGGGTCATAAGCAGAACTGAGAAAGAAGGAGGAAGAGAATCTCAAGCAAACACTGGGGGCGCCCAGGGGACCTGCTATGGAGCCTCAGATGCAGCAGCAGTCGGCAGATGTCAAAGGTCAAAGGGCACGAAGGAAACTACGCTCTGGCTATCTTTAGGCACATCCTGATGCTGGGAACAGGCGTTCCAAGGCGGCATTCCCCTCCACAGACGGGCTAGCTGGCAGAGCCTGGGGTCTGGGAAGCTCAGCCCCGGCAGGGGTTCTGGGACCTTGGGATTCAGGCTCTCTGTGCTGCCCACGTGGGTCCCACATCACCCCACATCACCCTCCAAAGAAAGCAGAGCAGCCAGCGAGTACTCAGAGGGTTTCTTAAGTTTCACAGGACTCAGAATCTCCATGGAGGGAGGGGCAGAGCTGCACTCCACTTTCTGATACAGGCCCATGGCAATTCCAACACTTCTGGCAAGAAGGAAGCCAGTCTACATCCTATCATGGCATCTACTCCCCCCTAGCAAGTATGCGGGTCTGGAGACCTCCTTCTCTGCCCACATCTGAGCACTCGAGAGCTCAGCTGACTCAGGAATACTTTGAGAAGCCTAATTCATTCAGACTTGTTCCAATCAGCAGTGGGCCAGACCAGAGCGGGCCTGAGGGGCTAGATGCTGAAGTTCAGGACCACGCACGAGAGAGGGTCCTGAGCCTGGAGCACAGCTCTTTGGCTCCCTCCCCAACAGCATTTCTCTGGACCGAGGACTTAAGAGTCCCAGAAATCCCTGGTGAGAGACAGGGCTTGTTTGGGGAGGGCTCAGCAAGAGACCCAAGGTCAGTCAGTCTTTCACCCAATGAGAACAGCAACAGGGGAATCCATGTGGGGAAGGGAGGAGCCAAGGGCAGGGCCATGCTCAGCCACTGACTTCCTCCGGGGCAGCTGCCCAGTCTCACTGGTTCTTGAGCCAATATCCCCAGAGAAAGAATACAACGACCACCCTTGGGGTATCTTCCTGCCTTCGGATTCCAGAGCTGGCCTGCTCCGTCCATCCATGAGCCATCCGTCCATGAGCTGGCCCTGCTCTTGCCCTCTGCTTCTCACCACCCCTCCTGTGCTCTGAGGCAGTGGGCAGTGAAGAGCCGTGACTTGGGGAAAGGGGAGAGGGATGTGTCCTGAAAGACCTCACAAGAGGATTCAACATGAAATGTTCTATGCTGTTTTTCGAGTGGAAGAAGAGAAAAATCAGTCTCTGAGGACTCCTTGATCAGTCCCTACGGAATGCTCCCCACAACAGACAGAGCACAGGATGAGGGTGCTGAGGTGTCAGCCACAGGACAGCCCTCCCGGCCAGATCGACTGCAGCCTGCTCTCTAGGGAATCTTGTGATGAGGGTGGGGAGTGTGCCTCCTGCCTCCCAGCATGACTTTCGGGCTCTGTAGCAGAATCTGCCTGCTATGGGCTCCGAACCGTGCCAGTATCTAACCTACTGGGTGAGGGGCTGCCTGCTTGGGCCTGCGATAGCCCTAGCACTCAGGAGCCCTGGCAGTGCCAGAACTGGGGCCCCATGGAGCCTGCTAGGCCCTCCTGTTGGGGTCAGCAGCTGACAGCAGGCCCCAGAAAGGATGGACGATGCTCATGCCCCCCACCCCCTCGCTGCAGTCTGGTTCCTGTACTCACCAGCATGCCTTTGGCACCTTTTTCTACCATGGTGGTGGGGTTAGGGGCTCTGGAGTCCCAGATCACACTCACAGGCTCTGTCTCCAGCACCTTTCAGAGTACAGGCTCCCAGAGCTGTGGAGAGAGCAGAGAATGAGGTGAGGGTGTAGCCCAGGGAAGGCAGGGCAGGATGTGAGGGGCTCTCCAGGACAGCTAGTGCAGGCCCCAGACCACTGCCGCCCATCCCTCTTGTCCTGCTCCTTTCTGGATGACCCTCAATCCAGTTCCTACCTCACTTTTCTCCCAAGCCCTCCCCTGAAACCCTTGTTCTCCAGGCTTCCTGTCTCAATGGGCAAAGGTTTATTTTTGACTCTCCAGATGCCTAATTTGATTACAAAATAATTTAAAAAATGAACACAGAACTGGGACAGGGTCCAATGCCTCCATCGTCTGTGTGAATGGCCTCAACCTTTCCCCTGAAGGGGAGTCCAGCTTGGATCAGCACATGCTCCTCCACCTCGCCGCAGCCAGGCAGCCAGGATGGGCCTTCCCTATCCTGATGATGCTCAGCCTGGGCTCCAGGCATCTGGACTTACATCACTCACTTGGACCAGAAGCTCTGGGCACATCAAACACAGCATGTGCAGTGTTTGGGCACTCCATGCCCTTGCTCAGGTGGGCCCCTGCCCAACACCTTCCCTCCTGCTCCCCTGGTGACATTCCACAAAGCCTTTGGGACCCTGCTTCAGTGTCACTTCTCCTCTGCTGCTTTTCCTGACACGGCCCCCACTCCACTCCAGAAGGAACAAATTGCTTCCTCTTTGGTGTTTTGTGCGACCAGTGTTCTTATAAACTCACTCTAGACAGATGTGTTTATGTCTGTCAACTGTGGGTGGGTTGTGCAGTTCCCTGAGGCACTGGAGGTGTTTTATTGACCCCTCTGTACCCTGCTCAGCCTGACCTCAATCTTTCCCAGCATCAGGGTCTTCTTAAATGAGTCAGCCCTTTGCATCAGGTGGCCAAAGTACTAGAGTTTCAGCTTCAGCATCAGTCCTTCCAAGGAATATTCAGGACTGATCTCCTTTAGGGTGGACTCGTTGGATCTCCTTGCAGTCCAAGGGACTCTTAAGAGTCTTCTCCAACACCACAGTTCAAAACCATCAATTCTTCAGCGTTCAGCTTTCTTTATAGTCCCAACTCTCACATCCATCCATGACTACTGGAAAAACCATAGCCTTGACTAGATGGACCTTTGTTGGCAAAGTAATGTCTCTGCTTTTTAATATGCTGTCTAGGTTGCTCATAACTTTTCTTCCAAGAAGCAAACAAGCGCCTTTTTATTTCATGGTTGCAGTCACCATCTGCAGTGATATTAGAGCCCTCCCAAACAAAGTCTGTCACTGTTGCCACTGTTCCTCATCTATTTGCCATGAAGTGTTGGGACCAGACGCCATGATCTGAGTTTTCTGAACGCTGAGTTTGAAGCCAACTTTTTCACTCACCTCTATCACCTTCATCAAGAGGCTCTTCAGTTCCTCTTCGCTTACTGCCATAAGGGTGGCGTCATCTGCATATTTGAGCTGATTGCTATTTCTCCCGGCAATCTTGATTCCAGTTTGTGCTTCATCCAGCCCAGCGTTTCTCATGATGTACTCTGCATAGAAGTTAAATAAGCAGGGTGACAATATACAGTCTTGACATACTCCTTTTCCTGTTTGGAGCGAGTCTGTTGGTCTGTGCCCAATTCTAACGTTGCTTCCTGACCTGCATACAGGTTTCTCATAGGTGGGTCAGGTGGTCTGGTATTCCCATCTCTTTCGGAATTGTCCACAGTTTATTGTGATCCACACAGTCAAAGGCTTGGGCATAGTCAATAAAGCAGACATAGATGTTTTTCTGTAGCTCTCTTGCTTTTTTGATGATCCAGTGGATGTGGGCAATTTGATCTCTGATTCCTCTGCCTCTTCTAAATGCAGTTGGAACATCTGGATGGTCGCGGTTCACATATTGCTGAAGCCCGGCTTGGAGAATTTTGAGCATTACTTAACTAGTTGTGAGATGAGTGCAACTGTGCCATAGTTGGAGCAGTCTTTGGCATTGCCTTTCTTTGGGATTGGAATGAAACCTGACCTTTTCCAGTCCTGTGGCCACTGCTGAGTTTTCCAAGTTTGCTGACATATTGAGTGCAGCACTGTCACAGCATCATCTTTTAGGATATGAAATAGCTCAACTGGAATTCCATCACCTCCACTAGCTTTGTTCATAGTGATGCTTCCTAAGGCCCACTTGACTTCACACTCCAGGATGTCTGGTTCTAGGTGAGTGATCACATCATCGTGATTATCTGGGTCATGAAGATCTTTTTGTATAGTTCTTCTGTGTATTCTTGCCACCTCTTCTTAATATCTTCTGCTTCTGTTAGGTGCATACCATTTCTGTCCTTTATTGAGCCCATCTTTGCATGAAATGTTCCCTAGGTATCTCCATCTCTCATTTTCTTGAAGAGATCTCTAATTCCCATTCTATTGTTTTCCTCTATTTCTTTGCACTGATCGCTGAGGAAGGCTTCCTGATCTCTCCTTGCTATTCTTTGGAGCTCTGCAGTCAAATGGGTATATCTTTCCTTTTCTCCTTTGCTTTTCGCTTCTCTTCTTTTCAGAGCTATTTTAAGGCCTCCTCAGACAGCCATTTTGCTTTTTTGCATTCCTTTTTCTTGGCGATGGTCTCAATCCCTGTCTCCTGTACAATGTCAAAAACCAGAATGTGGTCCACTGGAGAAGGGAATGGCAAACCACTTCAGTATTCTTGCCTCGAGAACCTTATGAACAGTATGAAAATCCAACAAGATAGGACACTGAAAGATGCACTCCCCAGGTCGGTAGGTGCCCAATATGCTCCTGGAGATCAGTGGAGAAATAACTCTAGAAAGAATGAACGGATGGAGCCAAAGCAAAAACAATACCCAGTTGTGGATGTGACCGGTGATAGTAGAAAAGTTCGATGCTGTAAAGAGCAATATTGTATAGGAACCTGGAATTTTAGGGCCATGAATCAAGGCAAATTGGAAGTGGTCAAACAGGAGATGCAACAGTGAACGTGGACATTCTAGGAATCAGCCAACTAAAATGGAGTGGAATGGGTGAATTTAACTCAGATGACCATTATATTTATTACTGTGGGCAGGAATGCCTTAGAAGAAATGGAGTAGCCATCATGGTCAACAAAAGCGTCTGAAATGCAGTACTTGGATGCAATCTCTAAAACGACAGAATGATCTGTCTGTTTCCAAGACAAACCATTCAATATCACGGTAATCCAACTCTACGCCCTGACCAGGAACGCTGAAGAAGCTGAAGTTGAACAGTTCTATGAAGACTTACAAGACCTTTTAGAACTAACACCCAAAAAAGATGTCCTTTTCATTATAGGGGACTGGAATGCAAAAGTAGGAAATCAAGAAACACCTGGAGTAACAGGCAAATTTGGCCTTGGAGTACAGGATGAAGCAGAGCAAAGGCTAACAGAGTTTTTGCCAAGAGAACGCACTGGTCATAGCAAACACCCTCTTCCAATAACACAAGAGAAGACTCTACATATGGACATCACCAGATGGCCAACACCGAAATCAGACTGATTAGATTCTTTGCAGCCAAAGATGGAGAAACTCTATACAGTCAGCAAAAAGTAGACCGGGAGCTGACTGTGGCTCAGATCGTGAACTCCTTATTGCCAAATTCAGACTTAAGTTGAAGAAAGTGGGGAAAACCACTAGACCATTCAGGTATGACCTAAAACAAATTCCACACTAGGTTACCTTTGGCCTTTGCCTGGCCACCAGGTGTCCTGAATAACCTTGGGGCCAGGCAACGGTGTGACTTGTGACCATTTCCCTTCGCTTAGTCACCCAGGCCAGGTTTCTTGCCTCTCTAGAGAAGTCCCTGCTCATGGCTTTGGTCTTCTGCAGGCAGTCAGGAGAAGAGGGAATGTGATCATACCCTTCTTTTCACCACATCCCTTCCTCCAAGCTATAAACTCTAGACTTCTTGTTTTCAAAGCTGTCACACATTGGCTAACAAATAATAACAACAGTGACGATAGTAATGAAGCACAGCCGCGTCACGGTTGGACATCATGCTTCTGCTCAAATGAGTAAACTGAGGACACTCTGTCCTGGACCTTGGGCTACAGAGTGACATCCCTGAGAAATGCAAATATGGCCCTTGTGTTCAAGGTGCTTCTCTTTCTTGGTGGAAAAAAGACTCCTTGGCAGCTGCTCCCAGGACAATGTGTTGGGTACAAAGCTTTGCTACTTCTCCTGCCTCTGCTGTTTCTGTTAACTGGCCCCATCCATCCATTCAAAAAGTACCACCTGAAAGCCTATGATAGGTCAGGCCCTCTGATAGGAGTTGGGCATCCACATGACCCAGGCACCAGGCCTGCCCCTCACCCACATATGGACCCCTGTTGACAAGCTGTCTGGGCCATGAGGGGTAGAGTCAGGTCAGCTTGTGATGAAGAGCTTGGACTCTGGGACCTGGAGGAGGAACTGACTCTGCCAACTCACTAGCTATGTGACTTCAAAAAAATTACTTAACCTCTCTGACCCTTGGTTTTCTCAATCTGGAAGATGGGGCTAATTATACTTCCTTTGTACCTTCTGAAGTTTCTCGTTAAGTTTCGACTCTACAGGTCCTCCACTTTCTCCTCCCCTCCAGTCCATTCATCGTCCCAAAGTCCTAAAACCCCAACTCCCTCCAACAGTCTTCCACAGCCAACAGGATATGGCCTAAATCGTTCAGCAGGCAGTCAGGGCTGGCCACAGTTCAATTCATTTATTTCACAAATATTTATTTTGGGCTTGCTCTGGGCCAGACCTGTGCTGGGCGCCATGAACTCTTCAGTCTCTGGCCTCCTGCAGCTTACAGGCTGGGTGGAAACAGAAACCAGTGAAACAGGTGACTCAAATGCATGGAGTTAGAGCCTACGATAAAGGGTGGGAAAGGGACAGATCCTCTTTAACCAGAGTCTACAGAAGTGGGCCTGGCCTTGTC